ATGGTTACGGATAGAGGTGTCAAAATCACAACCGACTCGATTCGAAACCGACCCAAAAAATATTCAATTTACATTTGGACTCTTGTGAATTTAATAATTTAGCATGACTCAACTTTTAAATTTGACCCAACCCGACCCAGCCTCATCAAACCTGATCCGACCATCTAAATTGACACCTCTAGTTACGAAGAGCCAAGAGCGTGTATCAAGTTTCAAGTGAAATACCCGTGCTAGGACATCAGAAAACACGTTTGGTTGCACCGTGTAAATAGAGAATTATAATCGTTCAAAAGTGCAATCAAAAGTCATAAAAGTAATGGACAGAAGAATTAGGTCCCAACAAGCAACAAGTAGTCACAGGTAGCACTGTCAAAAACCGAACCGAACTGGTGAAACCGAACCGTTTCAACCGATCCGAATGAGAACCGAACCGATTAAAAACCGATTTTATGAAACCGAAAACCGACCCGAACCGCATGTTAGTAAAACCGAAACCGAACCGATCCGAGTAAACGTTAAACCGTTTAAGAACCGAACAAAATCTAAACCGAACCGTTTCTAACCCGAAACCGTTTAAACTGGCATAAAAACCGTTTACACCGAACCGTTAACAAACTGCAACCCGTTAACACCGAACCATTTATAAACCGAAATGATTATAGACCAAACCACTTATAAACCAAACCGTTTATGAACCGAATCGCATATAATTCGAATCGTTTACAAACCACTTCCTACTAGGAGTATTTTGAACGACTCGATAAAAATCCGATTTTTTTAAATCAAAAACAGACCCGAACCGTAATTTAGTAAACCTAAAATAAAACTGATCCAAAATGTTAAATCGTAGAAGAATCGAACTCGTTAACAAACCGAACCAGTTATAAATCGAACTAAAATAAAACTGAACTAAAAAAGAACCGAACCGTTTCTAACCGGGATAAAAACCATTAACAAATCGCAACCCGTCTGCACCGAACCGTTTACTACCCGGACAGTTTACAACCCGAACCGTTTACAACCCGAACCGAATTTAAACCGGGATAAAAATCGTTTACACCGAACTGTTAACAAACCGCAACCCGTTTGCACCGAACCATTTACTACCCGAACCGAATTTAAACCGTTCAAGAATAAACCGAAACCGAATCGAACCGATAATTATTTAAACCGAACTAAAACCGACCCGTAAGACATTTGAACCGATTTCAAACCGACCCGATTTCAAACCGAACCGAAACCGAACTGTCAAACCGTTTTGACAGTAATAGTCACAGGGATTGCCAGACATGGCCGAGCCCTGTGTACTTCTGACAAAGAGGGAATATCAACAACGTTTTAGACCGTTCTCAATTTTGCTTATGCACCTATTAGGGTCCACCCAATCTAGACCAATAATGGAATTGAAACCTTGACAATATATAATCCTTATTTTTTTTTTCTTTAACAACTAAGATAGTTGACATTTGCCACATAGAAAATACTTTGTACTCGTGACATCATCCAAACAAAATCAAAATCTCATCCAATTCTAAACACTCCATCTGTACTTCGAATAACGTCTCATACATTGCATCTATTCATATTTAATTATATATATTCAGAAAATTAAATTAACATCTCATCAATTCTTGTTATACTAATAATAATGTCTCATACATTAGCACGAGTATATCATCAAAACAAGTGGGCAAGGGGTGAGGGTGTATATTACTTTGTTTGTAAGATAGCGTGAAACAAAGATAATACTTGGTATCTACCTTAAAAGAGCTCTTTTATTCAATTATCTGGTCCATATCAATTCAACAACACCGGATATTAACAGATATAATACATCCATATCTTTTCTTTTTCATCGACCTTTATTTATTTATAATTTATCACGTGGATATTTTTAATTTCTTATCAATAATTATAATTTACTGTCAGCGCGTTTTTCCAAAGAAAAATAAAAATTACCATATACATAAATTCTCACCGACTTAAAGAATTTCTTTAACCGACATACGCACAATTTTATTTATATTCATACTGTAAAATACGGATCTTTACTTAGCATACAAGAAGAGAGAGAAAATTAAAGGGTCTACTAAAATTCAATGGAGTTTGAATAAAGGGGATTTTTTTGTTTAAGCAAGAAAAAACCAATTCTTTTTTATTCGTCAAAGAATAAGGTAACAGTCAATTTATTACGTACTTCAATCAATTTTACTTTTTATTTCTTTCAACTGTTCATAATTTTGTACGTGTTCTTTGATCTTTTTTTAGCCCAATTGTTGTTGTTATTTAACAAAATTGATTGTTGAATTACTTTATTGAAGTGTAATTGTGGGGAAATTTGTTGAAATTTCTTAACTTGTTTAGAAAAATTTGTACTTTGGACTCAATTTTGTTTAAAGGTCTAAACTTTAGGGTTTTGTGTCATAGCTCTATAATTTGTTTTTTTTTTTTTTTTTTATTTTATATTTTTTTCTATTGTAAAGAACTTTAGGATTTTGTATCATAACTCTATAATTTTATTTTTTCTATTATAAAGGTATAAATTCAGGGTTTTACGGCGATTTGTAACTCTAAATTTATAATTGTAGTATGGGGTTACGTGTGTTGTTATATTTGTAGTATGGGGTTACGTCTGTTGTGGCTTTGTATCATATTGTAAATTTTTGTCGGTCATTTTAAAACTATTTTTTAACTTTTTAAAGTTGTTGTAACATAATTTTACTTTAACAGGTATATTATTAGTTAATATGGGAGAAGAGAGACTTTATGTGCTAGGCTTACCAGCTTATGAACATGTCGAAAATCGAAAATCTACTAGAAATACTGAGTTGAAGAGAAAATTCAGCGTGTCACCAATTGCAAGAGAACCTTCAAATGATCATATGGATGATATATGTTCAGGTGTTTCAGACTTAATTGGCGTACACAATGAAAATGCATCAAATTGCATGGAAGCTAATAACATATGTAATACTGATGATTTAAGTGGTTGTGATAATAAAGTTAATTCTGGTGAAATAACGTCAGAAAGTTCAGCAAATTCATGTACAGATGGTGGAGTTTGTACTTCTGAGATTACTAGAGAAATTTCTGAACATGCTAGCATTACAGGGAGTTTAAAGATTAGATTTAAGATTCATAAGAAATCAGAGGAATGCAGGAGTAATACATCGGCCTCTGAAGCTCAAGTTTTCCTGAATGGGACTCATGATGGCATTAGCTCGACTAATCTGACCCTAGCAGATAAACATAATGTTGATGAGCAAAGGGATATTGAACGAGGTGCATTGCCTACAGAATGTGTAGGGAAGAGCGCGAATCAAGATACTACCTCATGCATTACAGGATCGAAGAGGAAAAGGGAGGCATTGCCTACAGAACGTGTAGGGAAGAGAGCGAATCAAGCTACTACCTCACACGTTACAGGATCAAAGAGCAAAAGGGAAGGAGGTGGTGGAAAGAGGAATGACAGTTTGCACAAAGTGCTATTCATGCCTATTGGACTTGCAGATGGCGCTTATTTGTCTTACCGTGTTAAAGGACTGATAATGCTTAAGGGATACAAGCAGGGTAATGGTATTCTCTGCAGTCATTGCAGCAGTGTGATTAGCCCTTCTCAGTTTGAAGCTCATGCAGGTATGGCTATTCGAAAAAAACCCTATCAACATATTTATGATGCCAATGGGATTACACTCCATGACTTGGCGGTATCCCTAGCTGAGGGACTAGATCAAACCAATTGGAAGAACAATGATGACAGCAGACTGATACGAGCTGATAATTCTGAAGTCGATTATGTTGATCCTTCGAGTAAGCCTAAGAAGCCATCTGTCATCAGACTGCAACGAACTGTTAAGAAATCTGAAATCGATTATAGCAGTAACTGTGCTCTATGCTCCAAACATGATTATAGTGTCAACATATTTGATGACAGAACTGTTATAATCTGTGACCAATGTGAAAAGGAATATCACGTTGGTTGCTTGAGAGGGGATGGGCGTTGTGATCTGAAAGAAATTCCTAAGGACAAGTGGTTCTGCTGTCATGACTGTGACAGAATTTCTGTTGCTCTGAGTGAATGTGTTGCCAGAGGCTCACAAGTGATTCTATCCTCCGAGACAAGCAAAATTAATAGGAAAGTTGTGAATAAACACTCTCATGAGGGTGCTGATAATGAAGTACGATGGCGTTTACTGGGTGGGAAATCTTGCCCTCCTGAACATCAGCCTTTGCTCTCTAAGGCAGTTTATCTAATTCGAGATTGTTTTAGTCCTATAACTACACCGAATGGACGTGATCTTATTACTTTGATGGTCCATGGCAGAAATATTCCTGGCCAGGATTTCGGAGGAATGTACTGTGTGTTTTTAACTGTTAAAGCAACTGTTGTTTCAGTTGGTCTTCTTAGAATACTGGGTAATGAAATAGCTGAGCTTCCGATTGTGGCCACAAGAAAGAAGTGTCAAGGAAAAGGGTACTTTCTAGCTTTATACTCGCGTATTGAGGAGCTGCTATGTTCTTTGAAGGTGAAGAAATTAGTGCTTCCAGCAGCAGATCACGCTAAACATATGTGGATAAACAGATTAGGTTTCAGTGATATGAGCAAGGAAAACTTGTCTGTGTGCACAAAAATGTACCAGTTGACACAATTTAATGGAACAGTTATGCTGGAGAAACAACTGGAGCAGCAGATAGATTATTTGGAACCTTTTTCTGATGCCAGGAGTCATTACAACTTACAGCTAGAACATGTATAACCATCCTTGCCCGACATTTCGAAGTAGCTAGCTACTTAGTTCAATTGTTAATTGGTTCAGAGATGTCTGATAATTGTATATGGTTAGCACAAAATTTGTTTGTGTTTTTGGTTTGTTCATTGTTTATTTTATTTTTTGAGGGAATGAGGGGGTGACTTGCTACGCATTTCGCCTCTGGACTAGCTGTAATTAGATTTAGAATTTGGAAGGTAGAAAGTTTGAGGTCTTATTTGCTCATTCCAATTTCAAAACGAGTCCTCCATTGAGATACATTTCATATTGCTTCTTCAATCATTAGTATAAAGTACAAAATTCTTAGTTGATAAACTTACCCATCTTTAATTTCAGTGTCATACTGCAAAACATGTGCCAATTCCATGCTAATTTTACTCATTTCTGACAAAAGAAATCGAATGGCACCCTAGGCGTTAAATACTCCATAGAAAGTAATCTTTTGGCTATGATCGCGTTAGCTACTTCTGTATAATGAATTCCATCCCAACTTACGAACTGAGATCCATTGCTACAGGCCTGAGAACCATAATTACCACAAGTCATCTGTATGTTATAATTATATGGAGCCCCCCCAGCTCCGCAACAAGCCATTAAAGGACTTTTGAATCCTGCAAAATCACACGTATATCACTTGTTAATTACAACATTCACATCAGCATCAAATCATATACCCACCACTACCCTAGCTTCTTGTATAACTAACCGTATTTCATGCCCTGGCTTATTAAGTCATATTTGATGGAGTATATGTCAACATGGACAATCGTAGCACCTACTAACTCAGATTTCATCTGTTGGCACAAATGAAAGAGTGCTGCATTAAACAGTTTTGCAGCAGAGTTGTAACTTGAGATGCATCCGGAGGCATCAAGATCGCCTGCCTTGTGTTGAACTAACCAGAGTTTTTGAGGTAAACAACCTAGCGGCCCAGTGTTCTGAATCCAAAATTTTCTTCCACCTTGATCATACAATCCCTGTGCAAACATTAAAACAACAGAAAATTGAGAAAAGAGTTAAAGAATGTAGGAAGACTATATCATCCTTGGTTTAGTGTAAATCAGATTCACCTTCACAGCTTTCTTAATTTCCTCGATAACCAGAGGAATTCTTTTAATAACTTTTGCATATGTAAGATTTTTGGAGAATAAGTCAGCAAGGTCATTTTGTCCAATGTCTATCATGTAGAGTGCATTACGGAATCCTTCTTCATTGACGTATCTTTTCACCCCTGTTATATGTCATTACATGAAAACGTTATGCTACTTACACGTTATTGCTTACAGAACAGAAAGTGACATTATTGTTTCATTGCATAGTATGGAGTTGTCAATAGTACGCTAAATGAATTAGACAGCTGCAGTTAACTACCTGAAGCAGCAAGTTCAAGGGATCGGCTTTTGAAGTGAAGAAATTGCATAACCTGAACGTTCAACGCAAATGGCTTAAACTCCGGGAGTGTTTTGGACCCTACCACTGCAAAATTTGCCCCATTTTGGAAACTCGACCCCATTGGATCCAGGTACGGCCTCAAAAATTTGGTATTCAAACTTTGGCCTGCATAAATCAGCCATATGGTTAGAATTAACTATTACTGATAGATACTTTTTGAAGCTGATGTTCACAGGCCAAATAAGTTTTGGCACCTCTTTTTTGTTTTTTTTTTTTTTTAATGAGACGTATGAACCGACATACATAGTATAGCAGATCTAAGGGACAATCAATTGATTATTTCTTTGTGGCAGTAGATCCACCTTCAGCAAAAATATCAGAGTAACAACAGTTTAAAAACATGAAGTTGCTATCACGTCTTGTCCTTGGTCATTTACACCCAAAAAATATATTGTCATAATCCAAAACTCCTAATTATGATATTATGGAATCTGCCAAGCTTTGTCCTTAATTTCAGAAATCTGTGTCTCCAAAATATACTGGTCTGTAAACTTTCCTCGGGATTAAACTCTTTGTGAGCAGAAAAGAGTTCAAAGGGGGTCACAGACTCACAGGGACTGGGGGAGTTATTTTGGGAAATGAAACGAATGAGTTTAGTTACGTTCCAAGTAACATATTCGAGAAACCTTATTCCAAAATTGGTCTAAAACAGGTCATTGTTTAATTGTTTCCAAGATCACAAGTCTCTAAATGCTACAAAAGCCCTTATAAATGGACAAAATACAAGCTACCCTTATTTTATTATAGAGTGACATACACATAATGACATAATATTACCTGCATTATTCAGATCTTTGGTACAAAATTTTGAGGGCAGGAAAATTAATAACTTGGGATCTTCAAAACCACAAATAACAGGTTAAAGCACTAGAACATGAGATGTCCAAGTTCAGATCTTAGGTAACGGTCGGAATTTATAAAAGACAGATTGATGGGGACTGGGGTCCAGGCCTCCAGGGACATCAATACTGGGAAAGGGCGCAACTTCTCTCATTCAAAATTTGAGCAACTTGCATAAATGCCAAATCTACCTATAAAATGTATGCCAAAATTTTTACTCCTTGATTGGGCGTAGGTTGGATACGCCTATAAGTTCGTAATTAATTACTCTCTATTGTTTTACGGGTTATTTTTTATGCTCTAATATCAGGGATCAACTAGGAGTTTCTCGTTCTAAAGAACTATCAACGAGTAAACAAATAATATATTATTATTTGGGCTACCGTTGTGACAATCTCGTAATTTTACTACAAGTACTCAATATACATTGTTACAAATTAGGGTAGTAAACTACGAGTCAAAGAACTAGCTTGTGAGGTAATTAAGGCGCACCTAACCAGCTAACCACGTACATTATGTACAAACGTGAAGCTATTAGTCACTAAGATAGTTTAAATTATGTGACTATGTGTCAAAAAATGGTTTAATTTCATCCTTAAAATATTAATTTCAATACTTTACCAATAACATAAAACATAAGAGTACTACTATATTCTTAGCGGGGACATAAAGTTTTTGGATTTACGTAACCACACCGAAAAAGTTTGTTAGCACTTAAAAAACGGATCATATCATCATAAAAAACTAAAAATTAATCCGTATCAAAATTTTATTTTCTGAGTCGTACTATCAAACTTTTTAAGTTAAAACAAATACGAAGTACATAATTTCGGAGCTAGATTATTTAAGGACGGAAAAAGTAAATAATAGAAAAAGGCCAACTTACAAAGAAAATCGAGGATGAGCCGGCCGTCGGAGAGGCGGCCAGTGGATCGACCAAAATAGGTGCGGCCATAAGGAGAACTCACCGAGTAGCCGAGCCCGGCAACGAGTCCACCCGTATCGGAGTTAGAATCCCCAAAGCTAAAGATCACCGGAGGTCTTAGACACCCACCAATTGCAGTACCAAAATGACACCCCATTACTATAAATGCTACCATTAATGACAGTAAAACACACTTCATCTTTACTAAAAATAGTAAGTACCCTTTATAATTTAAAAGGTTGATTGATTTCCTAAATTTAAAGAGGGAACAGTTGAAGAGATACTCTGGTTTTTATAGGAGTGATAAAATGATAGATTGTAATGTCGTTAATGGTAGTAATTTTATGATTGTGAGTAGGTCCTACAGAAACGTCGGCAATTTTAGGATTGAGATTTTGGAAATTGGGATAATCTTACTGAAACTTGGAATGATTAAATTATGTAAATGGATAGAGAGAGAAGATAGGAAGGACGGATGATGTGGTTATGAACTGGACTACAGAGGTACCTGTTGCTGTGGTACTGTAAAAACTAAAACTTGTTTAACAATTTAGGCTGCTCCGTACCAATTGGATGCTGGTGTAACGGTGATTTGGGCTATACTTGGTAGGGAGAATTGTATGTTCGATCCCTGTAACAACAATTGGGAGGGAACTGGAACCTAACCACCCAGAACTGATACTCGAATTCGGATTAGCCCAAAGGGTGAACCGGATGGAACACCAAAAAAGACAAAAAAATTACTTCATCCGTTTTTTAATAACTGGAACAATTAAAATATACTCATACTTTGTATAATATACGGAGTAACACATTTTCAAAGTATTAATTTAAAAGTTGATATTAAGAAAATATACATACATTAAGAAAAATTTAATGACACCATAATTTATATTTTTCCTTACTTAAAAATCATAATAGAGAGTATGTAACCCGACAGTATGTGGATTATTGTTACAAATATTTCTAAAATACCAGTAACAGATCTTGTCTTACCATCTTGCTAAATAAAAATTACGGAGTACTTTTTTTTTTTTTTGAAGGCAATTACGGAGTACTAGTATATATAATACGAGTAATAATAATAATAAAAACTACTCATTAGTCAATTAATATAGTGTACCGACAGTTCTAACAATATTAATGGCAATAATAACAAACTTTGTACAATAATATGAAGCAAGAGTGTTTAAGTTCATGTGGGAAAATTTAGGAATTAAGACTGTTTAGAATGGAAGAATTAATTGTGGCCTATTTGCTGTAATCTAAAGGTCCAGCCTTCTCCATCCTTAATGTTTCTTCAGGATTATCTTAAGATGTACTCTGTAATTGCCCACCTACAGTCGCTACAGATACCGGTTTAATACATTTGTTTAGCACTAATTTTTTATACTTCGTATTAAATGAGCTTTAATCAATGCTTAGTGCTAAATGATTAATATCCTTGATTTATACCGCATTAATTCAAAAGTTACCTTGGATCAACTATCCATTGATCAAGTTTGGCCTTTGGCTTAAACCCACGGACAATTATTAATACAATTTGAAAATAATATCCATCACCTAACAATGAAGGCAGCTCTTGTTCACAATATCTCTTGCCGGTGTCATGTACATTCTCCAAGAGCTTGATTTTATCATTCATCAGAACCGCGATGGCAGGGTGGGAGGATTTGTCTTCAGCTTTGTAACGGGGACTTTATATAACGTACCTTAGAGTAACAACTAATCCAAGAGATTTGACTAAAACAAGATCATGCCAATCTAGCAATTGCAAAAATTTCAGCTAGATTTGTAACACCTGATGCTCATGGCTGTACAGCAGTAAAATGAAATGAATGGGCCAATTGTTAAATAATAAGGGAGGTATCCTCGACTATAGGTTGTTCTCCTTCAAACTCGGAAATTACAATCAGTGAGTCAGTCATATCGAGGTTGAGAGGTTGTGATTTGGGATTTGGATTTATAACCTGCAGTAAAATGATTTATGATTAAGAATTCATTTAGCCAAGATTATCTAGTACTGTAATTCAGATGTTGAAATACCGTTTTATCATTTTTTACGTAGCCAATGGCAACTTCTCGCCTCAAACATGCCCTTTCAGATAGCTCATTGAAAGATGGAGTTTCCCCCTCTTTCATGTACAAGGCAATATCCTGCAAAGTTAACGAGAATGAAAGTTGAAGCCTGAGTTAGATAAATCAACTTGACTTAGGAAATGGACTATGTAGTATAATAAAGGATACAGAGTACTTCTCGTCAGAGTACTAAATAACTATGGTAAGTCAAGGAGAATGAGCTAAAAACAAAGGCAGTGGCCATCGCAAAGTAAAGGTTCTTTCATAACCCTTAGGTTTTCCTGAAGTCCAAATCCACTTCTAACATGCATTCCTAAACATGATCCTAAAGTAGGACTCTTTAAATTATATCAAGATAACTAGGTCTAAGAAAATATGATGATTTCCTGAAAACGGAACCTGCAACAGACTAGCCTAAGGGGATTGGTATTGCAATATAATTCTATTATGAAATAGCTAATAAGTTGAGAAGTAGTTAGAGTAGGAAGCGAGGAAAAGGAAGCATATTGTCTATAGAGAAGATCAGTGAGGGTTAAGATAAACAAAGGAAAGGATATTTCCACCCACTCAATGCCATATAATGTACATTTTAATAGCAGCACTAAAACTTTCAGTTATTATTTCACTTTATCATAAACATCTTACAATTAGATCTGTTCTCCAATCTATTCTCAAGAGCTCACATTTTCTTCTTCTCTAACCTTCCATCTTAGAAATCCCAAACTATTAGACACAAATTGCCAAAATGGAAGCCAACTATATCACTGGAGATGTATTTTTTAAGTGTAAATGCCAATAGCCATTTAAGATTAACTCAGAAACTTGTCAGGCAAGAGTAGCATTTGGTCATAGTTATACTTCCGATTTTTTTCTTTTCCTTTTGGATCCTAAAAGTGTTTTTTTTTTTTTTTTTTTTTTCTCTATCTAGCTACGTTGCACGTGTAAGCAAATTTGTAAGTGAGCACAGCACTAATATAGCGTCTCATTGTAAGAGGTTCGGAAGTCAGACAATTGGCTCAATGCCCGTATTAAACACAGCGGTACATTCGGTAAAGCAGTAATGGAGGGATTAACAGAAACAGAGGGATAGCATTCTCAGCCTCTCAGGATTAGCAGCATGTACCTTAACATATATTTCATCACCATCAGCATCCAAAATGTCTTTCCATACTCCATTGAGTTCACTATTCTCTGCAACTGAGCACAGAATAATTTCTCTTGAATTAATATAGAAGGCCAATAAATGAATCAAACACAGCAAATACAGTACAAAAGCATTTAATGAGAACAAGTAGCAAACCGTGAGCAGTTACGAGACTCATGAGTTCCTCAGCGGCAATAAAAGTTAGTGATGGCTTTATTTTTGTTACCTGGAGATGCTTGAACAGATAAGTTTGTAACTACAGACTCATGTTAGATAACTAAGTTCTGCTACATGAAGACTTACTTGTTTGCCAAGTTTTGAGTCAACTATTTCAGCAACAAGATTTTGCGCCTGTAAGCATTACAAATATGAATATTGACTTCATTATTTAAAAAATAAAAAAAATAAAAAAATAAAAAAATAAAATTGGGCATGCATGTACAAGGCAACCGCAAATTGAAGCCTTCAAAGTTGAAGGACTCGAAATCAGACCAGAGAAAGACTAGTACGAAAGATTTTTCAATGTCAAGACAACACATCATGATAAGATAAGATGAAAAAGGGTCCTCAGAAAGAATTTGAGAGAAACAAAGCTATCTCACCTTTACTCCAAGATTACTGCAAACATTTTCAGCCAAGAGAAGAGCAAATACAGAATGCTTGTCAGCCCTGGATGGATCTGAAACAAAAACGATAAATGCAAACACAAAGCAGACCTTACTCAATCACTAGTGACAAGATTCTCACCTCCGAGTATCAATTCTTTATCGGAGATTACAACAATTGAAAATGGAATCTCTTCATCCTTTTTAATAGAAGTTTGGGTTCTCAATACTGCCTCCTTTAAGGTATCATAATCCATAGGGTTCCCAACCTGTAAAGAAAGTAGTGCAGTGTACAAGTTGGTAAGAAAACAAATGCAGGTAGTATTTACTGCTAATTGACTATGCTATTGAGGCTCAAAGGGTTACCATATGGGACACTTGTATGTGTTCAAGTTTCCCTAGACCAATAAGTCTGCTTTTCCTCTCTTCTAATGGTACATCAGACAATATTTCCTGAATTTGAGAAGATAATTTGAGAGGATATCAGGTACAAAGATCCTTCTCATCAGAACAGAATTCATACTTAGTTTCCTCCATCAGCTAAGTTCATGTTTATGGACCTGTAATCTACTATGCAGCTTATATGTGAGCAGATGAACAACTTCAAGCAAACTCTGAGACTTAACTACGTAAATTTACATTTTAAGCCACCATCACTGCTTGCATTGATGGTTATTACTTTTTTCACTTTCATACGCCAACACAAACACAATACTGGAACCACAAAACCAAGTCTTTTGGTGCATCTATATAAAAATCTGATCAAAACAGAAGTCTAAAAATCACAATTCAAAACACATGAACTCTCTCTGTCCCTAGATAATTGTCAACCTTGCACGTTTGTTAAAGAATGACATAAAGGGGATAAGACACAATAGTAAAATATATTTGGGCAAAGGTGCCACAGAAAGGACAAGGAAATACAGCCACTTTCAGGAACATTTTTGAGTTTTTTTACCCACACCATGAGTACCATCACAGCAGAGGTATTCAATACGAATATCCGATTTGAGAATTTTAGCATACCAGCGAACTTCCAGGTCCAAGATAATTGTCATATTCTTTAATCATTTCCGCTATATTTGGGCGCCAACCTATCAACAGTATGCTTTCTTTTGGCCCTATAGTGTAGTCTGATGCCTGTACAAAGGCAAAAAAACGCAGCAGTGAGTCTTCTTCTAGTTCCTTTTCCCCTTTTATTGTTATATGAAAATATTTAATTACGTTTATATTACAGCATACCTTAGATTGTCGTTTGAAGGGACGCTTTTGTGTATTTTCACGACGCACTTTCTCAAATGTTGACATATCTTTGACAGAGTCAACATTAATTCCCAGGTACTCAAAGTTGTGGATCTCCTTATTTACTGCCTCTATAACATTTGTGCAGGAAATTTGCGGCTTTCTTGTACCATAAAGAGGAGCAATGAATAAAACCTAAATCGCACAAGTACGAATGTCACAAAGAATGAAAGTCAACAGCTAGAAGCAAAGTGACCATTTCCACTTTAACGATTTATGATATAACTGAGAACAGTGGCTCTTCCTCTATCTACAAGGGACACAAGTAGGGTTTCATTCTCATGTGTTTATTTGTATTCTGATTTTCATTTCACAGCCATTTCTTCTTTTTTTTTTTATCATCCATTTTATAGACACTTTCTAAAGTTGTATGCAGCTCAAA